GTTTCCCCATCAGTAAAACGGCGGCATTAAATCCTGCCTACGCGGAAGGCGCGGAGGGACCTTCCCGCTGCTGTGCCCATTTACGACCCCACCAAGTCTGGGCTGTGACCAAATCGCCGCTCCCCAGCCTTCTCTTCTCCGCGTCCTCAGCCGCTACTCACACTAGGAAGGAGGCGTGGAAACTGACCTCTACGGGCCTTCGTGATGCGCATGCTCCCACCCAGTCTCGCGCATCCCAGATCCAGACGTGAGGTGGGGCGGAGGGGCCAAGGGTCACCGAACCGGGATCACGTGGTCAACGGAGGGGCGGACCCCGGCGGAGTGGACTCCAATGCGAGTGAGTCAGCGGCCTGCGGCGGGATGGGGAGTCCTTGGTCCCGGGCAGGGCCTGCTCACCTGAGGGCTGCGGCGAGGCGAAGGCGGGTGCCGGGACGGCGGCGCGGGCGGCGGCTCCCACCCACCCCACTCACACTAATTCCCTCTCTCGGCACCCAGGCCCCACCCTCCGCGAGCACTACCAATCGGCGGGCGCCTTGCGAAGTTCCCGCCTTCCGGGAGGCTTCCCGGCACGTCATTGGTCAGTGTGAAAGCGCTGTGCAGACCCAGGGCGCAGGGGATCATGTGACGCGAAACATTCGCGGTTCTTAAAGCAACAGCTCTTGCTGGTTTTGTGGGTAGGTCTGTACGCTTTGGCATTTGTTTAATAAGCATATGTCCAAAGAAAGTGTCCCCCTTCCCTTGGTCTTGTCTGCTCCCGAGTTTCTGAGCATTTGCATTTTCGCGACTGCAGCAAAGCTTTAGACTTTAGTATAGGCTTAGTTTTCCTGCTCCACCTACCCCTCTAACGTCACCTGTCACTTCCTCTTTTTGAAAAGCCAGGTGGGGCTCCCGGTAGGTGTTCTCTATGGGCAGAAGGGACTTTGACTGGGCCAGACACCCCGTACAAGCTCCGGACTCCAGGGCTCTGCTTATTCGGCAACGATCTCGTATCCTCCCCACTCCTGTCCAGTAAACCCGGTACAAAACCTGCCTCGCAGACTTCCATGACAGTTTGACACGCACACGCTGCACAGATAACTCCCTTTCCCGAACTCCCACTGCGACGACACTGACTTGGGCAGTTATCAGTTTATAAGCAGTGGGCTTAGTGAGTAAAGGATGGTATTGGGAATCAGATCGACCTGGGTTCAAATTCTGACACTGCCTTTAGGCAAATTATCTAACCACATTTTCCCACATCTGCAAAATGGAATAATACCCACCTCAAAGGGTGGATTAAATGAGATAATGTCTGTGAAATCACTTGGCAGAGTTGGAGGTTAAACTTTCACACACATCAGAAGGTAGACAATGAATTCCTTTATGGTCACCCTAAACAGGGCGGTTTGCACTATATATTCACTATGTATTCGTTATAGAAGGGAGTTTCTCAAAGGAACATGAATGTACGTCTCCTCTCCCTTCCTCCCTCTCAGGGCTACATGTTCCTGCCTAGATGCCTAGAAAAGAAAATCCCCTGGGACCAGAGCTGGGAAAGCCAGATAGATGAGGACGGGGTTGCCATGGCAACTCAACCCGAGAAGACTGACCCTGCTGAGTCTCTGCCAGCCATATTCAAAATGTTTGCAGTACTTGAACACTGAAGTATCTGCCCACCTATGCATGAAGGGAAGACAGGGGGCCCTCCTCTCAAGTCTGAGTCTGAAAGTAACTCAGCAGAATCTGGGATACTGGCAAGTCTCCTTGCTAAGGTTTTATCAGTCTGGACAGGCATTGGCAACCTTGGAGGCATGAGAGGATGGAGGGAGGAAGGCCTGGGCCTGCGAGATGTAGTGAAACTGTACCCAACCTGTCGTGGCTCATTTACCCGCAACTTGAGTGGAGGCTGGGGCCAGGAAAGGCAGCAGTGAGACCCACATGGCTGTAAATGGGAGAAAGGTGGCTACCACTCACTCTCCAGACACCCAGTGCTTGGCAAGAATTATGACTTTGGAGTTGGACTGTTTAAAATTATAGCTGCAGGGCCGGCCTGTGGCTCACTCGGGAGAGTGCGGTGCTGATAACACCAAGGCCACGGGTTCGGATCCCATATACGGATGGCCGGTTTTTTCACTGGCTGAGCGTGGTGCTGACACCAAGTCAAGGGTTAAGATCCCCTTACCGGTCATCTTTAAAAAAATAAAAATAAAAATAAATAAAATAAATAAATAAATAAAATTATAGCTGCAGTAATCACTGTGTGACCTTAGGCACATTGGCTCATCTCTCTGACCTGGTTCATCAACTTTAAACAGAATAACAGAACGTATTTCATGGCACAGTTGTGAAGATTCAGTAATATGTGTAAAGGATTTAGCATGTTAACAGATATATAGTACTGTTACTATTAGCCTCCAACCTTTTCAAGAGTCTGTAACTTTCAGACTTCACTAGTATGAAACTTAAAATATCAGAAGAGTTCTGGGGACCATCTCCAGGCCATTTCCACTTGCTCCTTTCCCCACACAGTGCCAGCCTTCTCAATGTCACACCAACATCCTCACCAGCACCCATGTGCTGAGGCTCCACGAGCTACTTCTGTCCATCAGTCTCTTCCTTCCAAGCTTGGTGTTACTTCTGGGTTATCCCATACACAATTTACAAATGGGTGGTTCCATTTGAGAATTTGAGAAGAATTTCACTTTCACTGAGCCACATGGTGCTCAGGGGCTAGGAAAAACCCTACAACCCATGTAATCAACTGATAATATAGTGGAGTGGTATCTACCATTGTAACATTGTTTCCATTCGAAATACTGCAAATCCAGCACAGAAACTTTCTGGACTCAACAAACTTGGAAAACCTAACAGTGCTGAGAGCTGGAAAGTTCATGGAAAGATTCATATTATCTTTTCATTGCATTTTTCCACAAACTTTCTGAAGTACCCCCTACAAATATGAAAGTGGTCCATGTGAATCTAGTTTTCCCAATAACATTCCAATTAAAAAACATTTCACACAATAAAAAGTGAAGAGGCACAATAACAAAACATGAGGTATGAATGAGAAGTTGAAAAGTTGCCTATGTCTGTCCATCCGGGAGTGGTGAAGGTGAGAAGGGATCCACATTCCAGTGCCTTTCTTTTACCATGTTCTAGGCATTATTCTGGATGCTTCATTTTATCAGGGTTTCTGGCCCTCAGCATGATTGACATTTGGGTCCAGATAACTCCGTTGTAGGGGACTGTTTTGCACATTGTAGGATGTTTAGCAGCACTCTTGGCCTCTACCCACTAGAAGGCAGTAGCATCCCCAGTTGTGACAACCAAAAATATCTTGGTATTGCCAGATATCGCCTGGGGACCAAAACCACCTCAGTGGTTTATTATTATAGTTAAAGATGTATTATATGCTTTATATAACAGTAATTATAATTAACAGTTGAGAGCCTATCATGGACCAGGGTCTATGCTAGCCACTTGAACATATGATCTTTGATACAGCAACCTCCAGAGAGGGTTCTGTGCCCATTTTACAGTGATAAAACATAAGGTCATCCAACTAAGACTGAAGCCAGCTCTGTGTCAATCCAAATACCATGCTTTCGGGCCGGCCCGTGGCTCACTCGGTAGAGTGCGGTGCTGGTAACACCAGGGCCACAGGTTCGAATCCTATGTAGGGATGGCCGGTTTGCTCACTGGCTGAGCGTGGTGCTGACAACACCAAGCCAAGGGTTGAGATCCCCTTACTGGTCATCTTTAAACAAACAAACAAAACCCCATGCTTTCTACCACACAGCTCTGCTTCCTAAGAAGTCAGGGAAAGCTGAAAACAAAACAAAACAAAATATAATTGAACTGAGCTTTGACACATTTGCAGGTAGTAAGCACATAAGCTGGGAAAGGGCATTCCAAGGTAGACAAATAGTATTAAAAAGATAGTGTGAAGGAAGAGTGATGTGTTTGTTTAGTCTTGTAGGCATTTCATGTATTTTATTGTGCTACTCTAACTAGACTTTGCGCCCTTTTACATCTTCAGTTCAGTTTCATATAGTGATCAATTAGCAAATAAAGGCCTCTCTTGTTTATATTCCCATCTTAGGAATGGCTGTGTTGGGACCCCACAGTCTGTGTCATTACTGTCCTCTTGTTCATCTCCCCTTATCTGCTGTCTCCTCTCCCCACTTTTCTAGTTACACTCTTGCTTACTTTTAAGGGCAGGGGAAGGGCACTCTGGAACTAGATTAGGACTCAGAATGGCTCTAATGATGGTATCATGTGCTGGAAGCCTTGCCTTCAATGAGGTCAACTTTAGACCTTGGCAAAGGGTTAGTCAGGGCCGGCCCGGTGGCTCACTGGATAAGTGTGCCGCTTGTGAAGCGCGGTGGCGCTCCTGCCCAAGGGTTCGGATCCCACATACAGACCGGTTCCTGCTCACTGGCTGAGCGAAGCGCGGGAGCAACACCAAGGGTTGCAATCCCGTTGCCGGTCCCCGGTCCGGTACGGGGCCAACACTGAGGGTTGCGATC